GAACAGAGCAACCAGGTCCTTCTACACAGTTTAGGCAAGCAAGAGAGAGAGAACGAAAAAAAAAAAAAAAAAAACCTTAATGTGAACCTTTGGGATGACTTGCTATGCAATGTTTAACGTGGAATGCTTCAGTTTAATGTGCAACGTGCCAGTTGTAAAACTTTTAATGTGCAATGCAGCAGTTTCATTCTCTCCTCCCCCCCCCCCAACAAAAAATCAGCTTTTCTTAAGGGTCATGTGAGGCTCCCCACGAGTAGATTGGAGCAGTTGTCCCAAGAAAAAAAAAAAAAAAAGATAACTTAAGGCTGGGGTCCTCTACATCACATCCCAGAATAAACCATTTTACTGGAACCATCATCCAGTTTAGCTTACAGGCTGAAGAGCCTGCAGGTCTTTTCTCCACAGACCCAAGCAGCCCTCTGGCTGCTGTAATTTTCAAATTTTCTAATTGGAAGCTCCAGCTCCAAGCTGTCCTACAACTTCAGCACATAGAAACTATCGACACACACAAGGTCAATTATGGTCGTAGCGTCTGGTTGCTCAAAAGTCCGGTAACTTGAGTCCTCCGCGCTTTGGATGCGAATAGTCACATTATGGATCTCAGTGATGGCATAAGCTATGTATTCCTCATCACAGTTCGCACCCGACGCAAGATCAGCAAAGTACGCATCGTCAGTGATGTCAGCAAGGACTTCCATGGACTTCATGTGCTCCACACTGTTGGACCGGAACTCTGCAGAAGTAATGGACGGTGCTCTACCCAACACAGCCCGACGAAGGCATTGCCAGTAACTATTTGGATGACCATCAATCACATCCTCAGGAATGAAGTACTCCGGGGCAGTGAGCAAATCTACATTCACAGGGACTGGTGCCTCAACAAACTCTTCCGCATACGCATCATTCCAGTCATCTATTTCGAGCACATCATTGTACAATGCTCTCAGTGGCGGGTGCAGCTTCTCCACATCAAAATCCTCCTTGCGCACTAAACCACACGTTGCGAATGCGTGTGCGATATCCTCCTTTGTCTTTGTTTTTGCCCACTGGCAAACCCAATCTGCAACCATCTGGTATGTCAGGGTCTTCGGATTGCCCGCCTTGGTCTGCAAGGACGGGTTCTCCAAAGCGTTGGAGATGTATGCATCGTACTGGCGTCCATAAGATTGCTGGAAAGACCGATTCACAGCAACATCAAGAGGCTGAAGAATACCCGTCAGGTTGGGAGGGACAATACAAACATGGATGTTCATCTTCTTCAACCTTTCACTCTCAGCCACCTTCAAATGAGGTCCATAACTATCGATGATCAGAAGAACAGGCTGGCGGCTAAATGTCGTCTCTTTCCTTGATGCTATTGTGTCGTTGATGAATGAGATGATTGTGTCCGTACTCCACATCCCCGTCATGTTAACATCAACAACCACAGACCCTTCCACTGCTGGCTTGTTCTTCAACTTCGCGAAAAGAAGGTGAGGCTTCAACATTTCACCAGCCATGGAGATGGTGAAAGTGACGGTGAAGCGTTTGTGTGAGCTGCTTGCTTTGCGCATCAGCACCTCACGTGTCCCTCGCTTTGCGATTGTAGATGAGGGCTCTGTCTCGAAGTAGCGCGGGACCTSATCCATATTGAAAACGTTAACCGGAGAAATGCTATGCTTGTCAATGACGATGTGGATTTCGTCAATGAMAGCTCTGCATGTGTCTGCAGCATCGGAAGACAAGGTCCTTGAGGCTGTGTGTCGTCGTGACACAAACCCCTTTCGGCGCAAAAGCGCGCCATCCAGCCCGTCGACCCATCGAAGACCGCACCCTCCTCCACCTCTCCCTTCTCCTTCTGCAACTTAAAAATCAGTCGAGCTTTCGCCTGTATGTATTGATCTCTAACTCTCAGCCCGCTTTTGTTCTTCTGCAAAACCCACTGCTCGAGCTGCTCCTCCACTTCCTCATGCGCAGGCTTCCGCCCCCCACCCCCAAGCCGGGGTTGTGTTCTACTGTTCGTCATTGTGTTTTTCAAAGCTTCCTCCAACTTGTYTTTTCGCGTGACCCACTGGCGCGGTGTGGACTTGTCGACCCCAAATCTCCTCCCAACAATGTCGAACCCTTTCCCTTTAACACCCGGCACATACTCTTTGACTATATCCAACTTCGCCTTGATGGACCACGACTTCCGTTTCTGAC